AGTTAGGTAGAACTAGTTCCTAAGAACATTAATTGAGTAATTTATTGATAGTTGATTGAATGCCCATGGAACATGTATATTTCTTCAATGTATTACATTAGAGATGGAGTAAAAGGGCCTCGACTTTTTTCCAGAATTACAGTTCGACAGTGGCTAGTCGAAGGGTGAAGTGGTTTTTAACTTTTTAGCTTTATTAAAAACTTGGTCAAGATGCATGTTTAAGTTCTAAACTTCTAAGCTTGTAGATCTACACTTACAGACACACTTAAAGGGTTGAATTTGATAGTGAAGACTCAAGAGATTTACAAAATACAGCTTTACAATTAAGGAGTTGAATATTGTAGTTAATACTTGACATTTACGAAATAAAGCTTCGCATTGGATATCCTGACATATATATTTAACAGCTTTGAGGATTTCTACCAAGATGATTTTGTTCTAGCTATAAAAGCCATGTTGAACTCATTCTAAGACGTGGAAGTTACTGACTTATTTCGGCAGGAATAAGCGTTGTTTGAACTGAGTTAACAGTAGGCTAGAGTAAAGAAAGAAGGATGAGACAGAGATGTTTAAAGGAAAATAGGTTTAGGGTTTGATGCCGTGACGTTCTCTCCTTTACCTAATTAAACAATGTTTTTACATGATCCATCTTCAGTTTCTGGGTTTCTATACTAGAAATTTATCATCGTATTGATTTAAACTTTAAAAAAAACCATGTTAATTACTACTTACTAAAATTAGAGAAGAACTAGAATAAGTGGGGAGTTAAAGAATCTAAAAGACCATGGGTAAGGAATAACAGATGGTAGTAGTCTATGGATAAGGTAATAACGGATGGTTTTTTCAAGCCATGTCCCTTTCCTCTTCGGCCATGTTTAGTTCACATAAAGGAATGGTTGGAAACTCAATTTTCCATGTCTTTTTTTGAGGGATGGAAAATAAAAGATTCATTTTTTATGTTTTGTTATAGTGGAAAAGTAACTAGAAAATATCGTGTTATTTCTTTTTTCATGTTATAATATGAGTGGACAACATGGTTGATACTTCCCCTTTTAGAAAATAGTATCAATAAATTTCCACTTATATTATATTATAACACATAGAAAAGCTATACTACATGTAGGGGTGGTTGCGGTTCGGTAACCGCGAATTTTTACTCAAACTGCAAACCGACCGACTATTTGCGGTTTGGTGATTTTTGAAACCGCAAACCGACCGCGTTTTGCGGTTTACCGCATTGCAGTAAACCGCAAAATGCAGTCGGTTACCGCGAATTAGCGGTTTAAAACCGCAAGTTCTCAAGCATTCACAAAAATATAAATTCACAACATAAATAAATAAATACACAACCTCAATTTCTCAAACATATATAAATTCACAATCTCCTCAACTTCTCAAGCATTCACAACTTAAGAAAATTAAAGTTACAATTCCAAGCATTCCAATTA